GTGCCACAATGAGGGCCCAGAATTCATAACATTTTCAACTTAAATCAAAGGTGGGCTTATAAAAAATTAGTGAAAGGAAGATATATTTTAACCCCCCCCCCCACCACCACCTTGAGTCATTGATTCACATCTGTCCACTGAAAGTAGGAAGCAATATAAGTATTAACATTGTGGGCCCTCCTGGTGGCACAACGGGTAAGGACGCAGCACTGCAAGCCGGCCCCAGCTTCTCGGGTGCCAGTTCGATCCCTAGCCCTAGAGGCAAGGCAGACCCCTCCTGCTCCCCGCTGCTCTCCTCAGCAGTGTATTTCAGTAGATCCGCCTGTTCTGCTCCCCACTCTGTCTCTGGTGAATCCTCTCACCCCTGCACCTCTGGCTTGTACCCCAGTTCTGTATGCATAAATAAATAATAAATCTTTAAAAAAGAAATACCGACATCGTTGAGCAAACTTGTGTCTCTTGGAGGGGAAGAATTAGCACCATCTGACATTTAAAGGCCAGAGCTCGCGCCGAATAAGGGTGCAAGGCCAACATGTGTCCCTTTGAGGTGGGTCAGCTCAGCAGTGGGTGAAGAAAAGTGAACTTTGTGTTGTAGCTACTCCACCGAAGGAGGGTTTCTCCCCGCTGGCAAACAAAAAAAACTAAGCAAGTTGACCGATCTGGCCAAAGGTGGTGACTGGGAGGCGGGAGCTGGGTCCCGGGGGCCCCTCTCAGCAGTGCACGTCTGTGTACGTGGGAGCTTTTTCACTAGGAAGCTCTGAGACAAGAATGAATATTCAACAACCACTGAAGTATTCATTGCTCACCATTAAACAATTAAATACTCAGCGATTCTGAAAACGAGGGAGCAGCGCCCCTCGGCTCTCTGCAGGTCCGCACAGGAGCGCCTCACCGTGCGCCTTCCCTGACCGTGAGCCTTCGCCAGAAGACGGACTTCCGAGTCCCGGATCAAATACCGAAAGCGGGCCTCGGCCTTTCCGTTACCTCCACAGCCGACCTCGTCGTCGCCAGCGATGCAGTCCACCTCCCCGTCACACCTGCGCTGGCTTGGGAGGCACACGCCGGACTTGCACCAGAACGCCTGGCCCCGGCACCCTGCCACGGAGGAGACAAGTGCTTTTGCACCCCCAGTCGAAGGAGTTGGGGTCTGAAATGTTCACTGG